TTGTGTGCATGGGTGCTTCAGGCCGTCTGCGCAGTCTTCGTGGCCAAGATGTTCGATGCCTGAGGTCTCTTCTAGGGGAACAAAAAATTACATAAACATAAGCATTCGGAGATCCGCGCGGATTTCTTGGATCCGCGTTGGACCCCTTTTCCTGGCGCGCGGCGCGCGCCAGGGGCGGCGCCGGAGGCGCCGCCAGGGCGGTCCAGCGCCGATCCCAGAAATCCGCGCGGACCTCCAAGTTGTTATGTTTATGCCATTATTTGTTCACCTGTCTTCCCTCGTTCCTCTTCCGCGGCCGCCCTCCCTCTTCCAGTCGCAGTTGTGTGGCCCTAGTTCCGGCGCAGCGCCGCCAGCTGGCCGAAAGGGTTTACAGGAGGAATATCCAAAAGTACTCTACAAATTTAGGGGGACGATTTTCATCATTTTGCGATTTTTTATTTTGAATTTTTGAAGATGTGTGACGCTTCGCGTATCCCCACCAGCCGTCGCAGGCTGCATCTGGGCATCGCGGTCACCTGGTTCTGACAGCTCGAGGCGATCGACGTCTGACGGCTGGCGTGGTATTGAGTATCCGATCGCCCACTCGCGGCAAGTATTTGAAACACCGCGAGGCCATGGTGGTCACCTTCTCGGTTTTTCGCCTCTGTGCTGCGCCGCGCGTGATTATCTCTCCCCTTCGCTCGTCGTTATTATGGTCTCCTCGTTCTTCCGCCTTTCTTCTTCGCTCGCGCCGCTCTCTCCTGCTCCGCCTCGTTTCCGCCGCTCTTGCGCAGCCGCCGCGTTGTGTAGTGGCCCCCTTTTTTCCCCGCGTCTGGCCGGCGACAGTTGGGCTGTAACCCCCGGGCTCCGCTCGCAGACCTTTGCGACGCCGCGCGGGTGCCCGGTCGCGACCAAAAAAAAATACCCCCGCCAGCCCATCCAGCAACGATCAGCAGGGGAGTTGGTGAATCAGGGGCGGCAGGACGCATGCAGTCGCGCGGCCGTCTTCAGGAAAACAAGGATCACACATGGCTTCCCGCATTGAAGTTTAATATGGAGATTGGCGCAAGCTACGACGGTGATTCGATGAGGGGTGAGGGCTGTTTCCATGACTCGTAATGGCTGTTGCACCGATTTGTATCTTAAACACGCGTGCGTTTCGAAACTTGGAACTATCTTGGGGCTCTCTTGGAATTTTCTTGGGGTTCTCTTGGGGCCCTCGTGGAGCTCTTTCTTGAGGCTCTCTTGAGGTCCTCTTAGGGTCTTCTTGGAACCCTCTTTGGGTTCTTTTGGGGAGTATTTGGGGCCCCTTGGTTTTTTTGGGGGGGGTCCAGGGGCCTTCTTGGGGCTGCGTGGGGATGCCTGCGGGGCCTTTCGGGGCCGTATTGGGCCCATTCGCTAAAAAAGGGGGGCCCTTATTTCGGACCCCCCCCCCATCGGAGGCTCAAAAGTGCCGTCCTGGGGCCCTCTTGGCCCGCTCTTGGAGCGTTCTTGGGCGCTTTTTGGGCCGTATTGGGGCCCTTTGGGGCTCTTCTTGGGGCTATCTTGGACCGTCTTGGGGCCACTTTGAGGGCTCAGGAGCCCATCGAAATCGAAAAAGCGAGAAGGCAACACACATGTGTTTTCTTCGGTTTTTGAAGGATGTAGGGTCCTCGGAGGCTTCGGACAACATTTGGAACCGTCTTGGGGCCGTTGTGCGGCCTCTCGGACGTGCGTCGGAGGCGACCTTGACCCATCTACTGCTATCTTGGGCTATCTTGGAGGCCATCTTGCGGTCTTTGAGGCCCCTTGGGGCCATCCTGGGCCATCTTGGACGCTGCTATGGGTCGCCGCCCCCCCCCCCCCCCGTGGGTTGGTGGGATTTTCCTCCCAACATCCGCCTGTAGGAGGACATGTCCGGCATAAGAACAACATTGACTTCGCATGTCGGTTCATCATGCATGTTGTGGATCAGGCCTTGCGCATTCGAGCGGCGGCACGCAGTCTCTGGTCTCTGGCGCGCAGTGGCGTCTGGCGTTCGCCTTCAATGTCATGGAGTTGTCTGCACATTGCATGCTTGACCGACGGCATCCGTTCGTCTCCGGTCAGCCACCGCGCATCGTGATTCGGCTGGATCAGCAGCTCTCGTTCGCAGTATCTATCACTCGTACCCACGCACGGGCACGCCCGGGTCCGTGCGCACAGCAGAACGAACGATAGGGATGCCTCTTCGGGCGCCCTTTTGTGGCCGTTTGGAGGCTCGGGACCTCTTTACTTGGGCGCCTCTTGGAGCCCCTCTGCGCTTCTGAACGGTCTCTGGGCCGAGAACGTTGAACAGCAGTGTGCTTCCATTGATTTGCCCAGTGGGGAATTCAAGCGAACATGAAGACATGCCCAGAAGCCAGAAGCGCGAAGAAATGTGCGCCCTGGGCCCATTACGGAGCACCCGCAGCGTTCAGGACAGAGAAGTCAACGGGACGTGAGCACGCTCCACCCAGTCCAGTCCCTGCGGAACGGTGGCGGCTATTATCTACGTGTTTAG